CCATTCGAATACCTTGGGGCCGTAAAATGTCTAACGGTCCCATTACGTGAGTATGGAGACAGCGAGCTTACGCGGAGGAAATCCGGTATCATATATAATTTTAAATGCTATGATAATTGAGGTTTAGTAAAAACTTATTTTTTGTTACCACCAGTTAAAATAACACATAGATGTGACTCTGAGTTTACACTGCGTTAGTGCTATTCTGGGGGACACCTCAATATATGCAAGTCGGACTTCACAGCGACTGAGCTGCAGACACAAAACAGCATTACTCTGATCGGGCCGAACAACATCAATCTGAAATATATCTGTCGGTTTACAAACTATACAGCCAAAATAATGAATGCATTCTGTCTAATAACAATCGCTTTTGTTTGATACGGTAGGTTAGAACATACATGGTGGATAAGGCACGAATGCATTATATCCAGTATGTTGATAATTATTGTCGAGACTGTCGATTATATTATATATACTGATTATATAAAACAAAACGAACAGTCGGTTCTGTACCTTGTTTCATAGTGATGAACAAGAAAATGAGCATGAAACGTCGCCATTAGCATATCCCTGGGAGTAGCATTGACGCCGAGAAGTAGGCTCACTTCGGAAAGCGTTGAACCTACGTAAAAGGGGGACACAATATATTCGGCAGTTGTGGGCGGACTTGTGAACGTCAGCCTGGGGTCATTCATGCAGAGGCCGTAGTTGAACTTTATTCGCCCGGTTGTAGTGAACAGTTCCTTTAGTCGACATTCAAAGTCGTTTACGTCATCGATGTCAAGTACCTGCCTGTAAAGGAGGAAATGTCGAGTCAAAATGGCCAGACGTTTCCGGTTGAGGGTTGAGAACTTCAGCGTGCAAATGGCTCTGTAGTTAGAGAGTATGTGCAGTGTGGTAAACAAGGCAAACATTGTCCAAATGAGGAAATTGTTCAGCGAAATCAACGGGATCAGAAAAAGGTTGAAGAGCAGCGCGATGAAGTTAACGATAGTCTCTTGGCTGCCATCTTTAGCAGCCACGTCCGCCAGATTATTCGTCAGAGATTGATGTTGTATAACTGCAGCACGAGTCGCACCGCCAGCCACACCGACGATCGCCCTGCACAAGTTCGTTCCGCAGAGGAGGACCAGAAACCACGACTAAAATACAACAGAAACTGACTTCAAAACGTACACCGGGCGAACGTGAAAAAAATAACCTGAAAATGGGCGGCAACCAAACTCATCATAATCGCAATGTCATTGAGGACGTCAGCTAAGAGACGCCATTTCTTACAGTCGTAGTCCAGCTGGGTTCCGCATGACCATGCAAATAGAATCTCGCCAAACATGCCCACTCCGTTTCCACATAGCCAAGTGATGGTAGCGGATACGACCGATGCCTCTTCACTACCAACACCCACTCCTTTCAATATCGCTTGAGTAGACAAAGCTCCGGTAATGCTGCTGCAAAATGCTTGAGCCGTATCCCATAGCTGGTACGCCATGTAGTCTTTGGTCACGCTGAAATTATCATTCTTTGTACACGAAAGAGCATAGTTCTATAATACATTTTCACTATGCTTCTTGATTCAATTGTACCCTAATTTCCTTCTCTGAGCTTAGAAATCATTTTTTCGAACTACTGCTCAAATGGTAACTTTTAACAACTTGGCAAAACATCTCAGTGGCCATTAATCAATATCAAAGTAAAAGAATGAGTCACCATAAATGAAGTGCACCAATGTTGTACTATAGTTGCGTGTCCATCCTGTAGATGCCGAATATGAAAAAAATATCCTGGTAGATCAGGAGCTGAAAATCCGTCCATAATTCAGGTTAGTGTTATCTACGCGACTGAAATTACGAAAGCCATTCTAGACACATGGTTCTTCTCTGACTGCAGATGGCAATGACCTAAACACACACTCGTGGGTCAAATGTGAGTTTTCTCCAAAAAATCCTCCTTGCATAGCTAACCAACAAGAACACAGGCTTCTGCTTAGCCTGTCAACGGTAGACTGCACTATGACGTTTTTTGCACAGTAGGTGCAGATACTTCCTCCATAAATGGTCCATAGCGATGGTGCAAACGGTGGAATACCTCATAGACTACTCCCACATTTACGCTAACCGTGGAAAAAGGATGAACATCTGTTTGCTACTCCGAACGCCGTAATCGCTATCAGAATTGCAGATACAATCATAAAACAATCCGTCGTTTCAATGC